GAAGGACTGCCAGTGTCTCACAAATGTCTCATGGGAGTGAGTTGCACTGAGCCATTTGTACTGCTTTATACATTAATTAACCATTCATTTCTTATGTTATATATCTATCTATCTGTATATATATATATATAATTATTAGCATTCTGGTTTTGTTTCTCTAGAGAATCCTGTTTAACACATTTGGTATCAGGAGTGCTTCTAGAGAAATAAAATCATAAATATGGGCTTCTTAAATTGGCTCTCCAACCTGATTAGTCTTAACAGCACTAATAATGCTATTTCAATACCCCAAAGCATGGATAAGTCTGCTACTCTTACTAATTAATGGTGTAAAATAGCAAAGCTAATATCTACAGTATCACCACCAATAGATGAAGTGCTGGTTAAAGGAGAGGCTCTGAGTGATCATATTTTTTATATTTTCCAGGAGTTTTGCCAGGATGAGAAGTATAGGAAGCTGGTTGGCTGGTCCTTCTTACAATGGAAAGTGTAGTTAAGGAGAGGGATGGTCTCAAAGCCTCAAAAGCACGCCTCAGGTGCAGACTAACAAATTTGAAAGCTTCCCTCTGTGCTACAAAGGAGAGCCTTCTCTCCTCTAGTAATAGAGCTGATATTGCTGAGAACCAGGTCCAGAGTCTCATTATGTGAGTGGCTGAATTACAACGTCAGCTGAATTGCAGATCTAAAACAGTGTCTGATATCAAAGTAAGGGCATTGATAAGAAAAAGTTGGGGCCCTGAAACATGGGATGGAAACATGGGCTGATGATCCAAAAGAGGGGGATATTGAGCTCTAGAAACAATTGACCCACCCCGGTCAATAGATCCACCCTTCCCAGCTGAAGGTATTAATTTACTATCAATGAAACAATCCACACCTCAGCAGATTAGCCAAATTGTTCAAGTTGATATGCCAGGTAGGCTGCATCGGTAGCATTGCCTGAGGCAGATGCCTTGAAAGCTATTGCTGAGAGCACCCAGGAAACAGCCTCACCACCCATTATTTCCACTAGACCTGTCACTAAAATTAAGTCTCAGAAAGCTCCTAAAGGTGAGGTTGAGATGATTATCCAAGAAGTGTGCTATACTCACAAAGATCTGCTCGGGTTTTCAAATACGTACAAGCAGAAGCCTGGGGAATATCCCTGGGAGTGGTTACTAAAGGTGTGGGACACTGGTGCACAAAATGTAATATTAGACCGATCTAAGTTTCTGGATATGGGACCCCTAACCACAGATTCTTCTTTCAATGTCTCTCTGAGAGAGCCAAAGAGAGGATCTAATTCTTTATTTGGTTGGTTCGCTGAAGCATGGACTGCCAGATGGCCTAGATTAGACCAACTTGAAGTACCTGACCTACATTGGTACACTGTAGAGGAAGGTATCCAAAAATTTAGGGAAATTGGTATGTTGGAATGGATCTATCAGGATATTTCCCTAATGGTGCTAAAGGTGTCAGTTGTAGATAAATATGCAGTGTGGAGTCTGTGGCAGACCCCTATTGGTGAATCACAGTGTATACTGCCATCCTCTGCAGACAACTACTCCCCCTTTGAAAACAGCTGTTGGCCTGTTACTGGCCCTTGGTGGAGACTGAACGCCTCACTATGGGCCACCAAGTCACTATGAGGCGTGAACTACCCATCATGAACTGGGTATTGTCTGACCCATAGAATCATAAAGTTGGACATGTGCAGCAACACTCCATTGTTAAATGGAAGTGGTATATAAGAGATGGGGCCAAAGCAGGACCTGAAGGGACAAGTAAGCTGCATGAAAAAGTGGCACAAATGCCCATAGTCTCCACTCCTCTCACCTTACCTTCTTTCTCCCAGTGTGCACCTATGGCCTCCTGGGGAGTTCCTTACCATACTTTAACTGAAGACCAAAAAAGTCATGCTTGGTTTACGGATGGCTCTGCACGATATGCAGGTGGTGGACAGCACATAAGTGGACAGTAGCAGCACTACAGCCCCTTTCTGGGATTTCCCTAAAGGACAGTGGTGAAGGGAAATCTTCTCAATGAGCCAAACTTCGAGTGGTGCACCTGGCTGTTCAGTTTGCATATAAAGAAAAATGGCCAGATGTGAGACTGTATACTGACTCATGGGCTGTGGCTAATGGCTTGGCTGGATGGTCAGGCAATTGGAAGGACCATGATTGGAAAATTGGTGACAAGGAGGTGTGGGGAAGAGGTATGTGGATAGACCTCTCTGAATGGGCCAAGAAAGTAAAGGTAATTGTATCTCATGTGAACGCTCACCAAAGGATTACATCTGAGGAGGAGGACTTTAATAATCAAGTGGATAAGATGACACGCGCTGTGGAGACTGGTCCTCCTCTTTCCTCTGCCACTCCTGTTATCGCCCAATGGGCACATGAACAAAGTGGACATGGTGGCAGGGATGGAGGTTATGTATGGGCACAGCAACATGGACTTCCACTCACCAAGGCTGACTTGGCCACTGCCACTGCTGTGTGCCCCATTTGCCAGCAGCAGAAACTAAAATTAAGTCCAAGATATGGGACCATTCCTCGGGGAGATCAACCAGCAACTTGGTGGCAGGTTGATTACATAGGACCACTTCCATCATGGAGGGGACAGCGTTTTGTTCTTACTGGCATAGACACCTACTCTGGATATGGATTTGCCTTCCCTGCATGCAATGCTTCTGCCAAAACTACCATTTGTGGACTTACAGAATGCCTCACCCACCGGCATGGTATCCCACATAGCATTGCTTCAGATCAAGGAACTCACTTCATAGCAAATGCAGTGCGGCAATGGACCCATTCCCATGGAATCCACTGATTGTATCATATTCCTCATCATCCTGAAGCTGCTGGCTTGATAGAATGATGGAATGGGCTCCTAAAGACACAATTATGCCACCAACAAAGTGGCAACAACTTGTGGGGCTGCGGCAATGTTCTCCAGGAAGCTGTATATGCTCTAAACTAGCAGTCAATATATGGTGTTGTGTCTCCAATAGCCAGAATTCATGGGTCCAGGAACCAAGGGGTGGAAGCTGGAGTGGCACCACTCACTATTACTCATAGTGATCCACTTGTAGCATTTTTGCTTCCTGTCCCAGCAACCCTGTGTTCTTCAGGCCTGGAGGTCCTGGCCCCGAAGGAAGGAACTCTCCCACCCGGAAACACAGCACAGATTCCACTGAACTGGCAGCTGAGAATGCCCCCTGGCCACTTAGGGCTTCTCATGCCTTTGGATCAACAGGTCAGGAAGGGTGTCACTGTACTGTGTGATTGATCCTGATTATCAAGGAGAATTTGGACTGGTGATACATAATGGAGGTAAAGAAGGGTATGTCTGGAATCCAGAAGATCCCATAGGCCTACTTTTAGTGCTATCATGCCCTGTGATTAAAGTAAATGGTAAGATACAGAAACCCAATCCTGATAGGACGTATAATGACCCAGACCCCTCAGGAATGAAGGTCTGGGCCACCCCACCAGGCAAAAAACCATAGCCAGCTGAGGTACTTGTTGAGGGCAAAGGTAATACAGAATGGTGAGTAGAAGAAGGTAGTTCTACCTATCAGTTATGACCATGTGATCAATTGCAAAAGCGAGGTTTGTAGTTTTCAGTGTATTTTCTTTATATGTGTTTATTGAATATCTTTCCTTTGTTCATGTATGATATATCAGATACAAATGGACTCAGTATTTTCATTTATATGTATGCTAGATGTTTGATGATAAGTATAAGTGTGATTTCATTAATGTCTGGAAATTACATGCTAAAGAATTGTGTACAGGTGCCAAATTGGCAAGGGGTGGATTGAAGTAGTTAGTTTATTGTGCCAACCTGACCGATAAACACATGTGGGATTAATTGAAGGACAGAGATATGAATGGCTCAGTGAGCCTTGCCGTTTTTGTCTCTTGCGCTTTCATCATCGGACCAGTGTGCAGCTGCCTTGCTTGTTCTGTGCCTCAATTTTCAAGCTGCACTACCTGTGGGACCCCTAACCCAAGGACTTTGTCTCTGTAATTTGAAGTTCCTTCAGGACCTGCTTCGCCACACCATTGGAATTTACATCTCTTGAGCTGGGGACTGTTGGACCCTGTCATCTGGCTGACTGTTGGTGACCTACCTTGTTGTTTGCTGCCTGTGCCAAGATAGCCTGAATTGCTCTACAGAGGACTAACTAGCGGCTCTCAAGACTTGAAGGACTGCCAGTGTCTCACAATTGTCTCATGGGAGTGAGTTGCACTGAGCCATTTGAACTGCTATATAATTTAATTAACTGTTTATTTCTTATGTTATACATCTATCTATCTGTATAAATATATATATTTATTAGCATTCTGGTTTTGTTTCTCTAGAGAACCCTGTCTAACACAGCCCCCAATAAAAAGCTCAATAAAAAAGAAAGAATTTGATACATTGAGAAGCAATGAGGTTATAATAATTTGGAACTTTGAAAGAGGAAATTATTCCACTTTAGTTGGTTTTTGGTAAACATTTTCATCACCACATAAGAAGTCAAAATGTGTTACTGTTCTAGATAGAGTATGATACAAAGGTATAAATAACTATTTGAACTATAATTTTAATAAACAAACAAATTTGAAAGAGAAATACAACTATAAAAACCAAAAGGCTTTGCATATGTGCTAAATCTTTAGCATAATAAACCAACAATAGATAAGACTTAAATTTGATACCTCTAGTAGTAGTATAAATAACATGCATAGAAAATAAAAATAAATGTTCAGGACACTGAAAGCATAAGTTGTAAAATTTTAGGATACAGAATTTTTGTCCATTACAATTTATCTTATATTACATGCAATTCTAACTAACAAAAAAGCACATCAATACATTTTAAACTCCAAATATTATATTGGCCCACAAGATTTTAAAGACTAAACATCAATTTATAACCTGCCATAACTATGTCCTAAATTTGGTAAACTACAATTTACCACTTAAGTGGAAATAAAGGAGAAGAAAAATATTAGAAATGAACTCACCCAAGCAAAAATCACTGAGGTCCGTGAAAGAACAGTTGAGCACAGAGTCATTTTTATTTTCCTCATAGTTAACTAAAATAAATAAATAAGCCAATGAGGAATAAAATATTTGGAGTTTCAGAAAATATTAACAAGACATCAGAAGAATGATTATGACAAAATATCATTAATATCTAATTATATCTAATATCTAATAAATATCTAAAATATGCCCAAACTTCAAGAAATGTTTTCAGAAAATGACTTGGAATTAGTTATTTAAATTACACTCTCAATAAATGAAAGAAGCATGTATTGTATAATGATTAATACCTAATCATAGGGAATAATTAGTCATGCTTGTTCCTGATCATAGGTATAAGCTGATAAATAATAATATCTAGTGAAAGATATATATATCTGAGTATCTACTGATATATGTATACATGTCACTAGTTGTTATAGTACACATCACTAGATTACATATATGAACAAGGAAAGCCAGAATTCCTACAGGCAAGTATGACAAGACTTTGGTCTTACTATGAGGAGAGCCAGTCCTGGAGAAGGATGCCATGCTTAGGTAAGCACAGGGCAGTGAAAAGGAGGAGGCCCTTGACCAGATGGACTGACACAGTGGCTTCGACAAGGTACTCGAAGCATAAGAAAAACTGTGAGGATGGTGCAGGGCTAAGCAGTGTATCCCTTCTGTTGAACTCAGGGCAGCCATGAGTTAAAACACACTGGTTGGCACTGAACAACAACAACAATGATTTATAGTATACAATATAAAATGGTTTTATCTATACAGAAGAAAAAGCAAGGTTATAGAATCATAGCACGAAGCTAGAAATGGATGGAAAAATTAAAACGCAACTTATCCACTAGTTAAAAGGAAGCCTGTGATTTTGACTCCTGAGTCCTCTGAAAGGGCTTGTCTGGAAGTATAAGGAGGGTATCCATGGTTCACTGGTAGAATTCTCCCCTTCAACCTCCTGGTTCTAATACTGGTCAATGCATCTCAAGGTGAGCTACCACTTGTCTGTCAGTTGAGACCTGCATGCAGCTAAAAAGGTTTCCGTTGAATGTTTAGACGAAGACGAACTATGAAGAAAAGTCCAGTGATCTAATTCTCAAAATTAGCCAAGGAAAGCCCTATGGCTCTCTTCCTGTTGTGCATGGGGACGCCATAAGTCACCAGCCAACCTGACTGCAGGTAACAACAGGGATAAGGTGTCAGGGCAGGTGCAGACATGTACATGTCTGTGTACAGGGGTGGCTAGGGACTGTGGCAGCTGTATGCGCAAAAGTGCTCCCTCTGGAGAAGCACTACCAATTCCAGTTCCCTGCACAGGGGACAGCAGCCACACTATTTATATGCATGCCTAAAATGTAGCCTTTCGGTTTCTGTCATCTGAGGCTTACATGCTAACACGCATCCAACTACATTTCCATCCATCTAAATCTTCACTGCTTTACTGTCAGCATTATTTATGGTATGTTTGATTGATTTCTGTCTAGAAAACTGAGCTTTTATTATTATACTCAAATACAGTTCTAAAGTTCTTGCCAAGGATAGTATTCATCCATAAAATTATGCAAATAAGCTACTAATTCATGGAATTGGGTGCATCTTCCAAAGTAAATGGCACGTATTTATCCAGCCTCATATCAGATTGGCTATCTCCAGGGTAAGGGGAGAATAAAAACACATCTGGTCAGCAAATGAACATTCTTCCGACTGACAAAGGATACCTCTTCTCCTTTTGTCAGCTTGCTTCCTCACAAAACAAAAACTAAGCACTGCCATTGGTTAATTCTTAATCATAACTACTCTGTATAGAGTTTCTAAAACAGCCTCCCCCTTCTCCTAAGGAATGGCTGATGGATTTTTACTGAATAATATGTGGTTAACATGTTGTCTTATGCCTTACCCATGGCACAACCCTTTAGCATCCTCAAGAACTCTCAGTATTAATCAGTGAAGAGAAATTACTTGATACGGCTTTTCTAGATCTAGTTCTTATATTCCAACCAAATGATTGGGTGGAAGCATGTAAATAATGTATACATGACTCTAATTTAGGGGTTGTCTGGTTTTGCAAATCTCTTGGGCCTCTGAAAACAGAAATGGGAAACCCTGAGCCCTTCAAGAAAGAAGAGCCACCAGAGGAGCACATGTAAGATCCCTGCCTGAAATGGTAATGGCAATGAGGCTGCAGAGGCCAAAGCACCAAGACCAAGCAGAGGAGTCACACCAAGACTATAAAATGGAACAGAGGGCTTCCTAGCCCACGAAATGGGGCAGAGGTTAAGGATCTGAGTGGCTGATAGGCTGAGGTCCAGAAAGAAATGTTACTGAAAAGAGGTGTTGCTTTTGGCGAAGGACATGACCTTCAATCTTTTCTCTACCTGACTTGGTGTGTCCTATTAAATCCCATAATCATAAGCATTGTCTGTGAGTTTTCTGTGGCTACTGCAACAAATTATTGAATCCAGCAGGTAAGTAGAGTGCCTTGCGAGGGATGAATGGTGTCAGAAGAGAGTAAACAAAGTTGGAGGGCAGGGGCATAGCTGATCTCTGCCCTATGGCATTGAGCCTTGGACTAGGGTGGAGTTGGGTTTTGCTGTCCCCCTGTGTAGCGGGACTGGAGATCTGGTGGTGTAGTGGTTACACATTGGGTTGCAATCCACAAGTTCCACATTTTGAAATCACCAGCTACTCTGCAGGAGAAAGACAGTGCTTTCTTTCCCATAAATAGTCACAGTCTTAGAAACTCACAAGGGTTGCTCTACCCTGTCCTATAGGGTCCCTATGAGTTTTAGTGAATCATTTATTTATTTATTTATTTGGTAGCCAGAAGAGACAGATGTGACCCTCATGCCATTTTATCAATTACTCAAAGTAATGAAGAAGGGATCATTTGAAAACACTTGCTCTGTACAATGATCTTTCAAAACTTAAAGGGCAAAATTACATTATCTTTTAATGCTATTTTCCCATGATTTATTTATCATTTTATTGGAAGCTCTTACTTCCAAGATATTATAACAAGTCATAATTAAATTAGATCAAGCATAATTGTACAATTGCTGCCATTATTTTCAAAATATGCTCCTTCTTCTTGAACTCTTTGATATTAGCTCCCCATTATCCCCTCCCTCCCCTACCTTACCCACCCAGGAACCCGTATTATTATATTATATATCATTCGTTTATCTATCTGTCTATTTATTTACTTATTGCCATATCTTACACGATCCAATATATCCATTCACCTACAATTCTGTTATTTGTTCCCCTCAAGTGGGTTTATAGAGTCATCATTGCTATCAGTTTCCCCTTCCCCAGGCCCCTCTCTTCTTGCACCCTTAGGGAATCATTACTCCAATTACTATTTCTGAAGGTTTTATCTATCTTGGATTTCATGCAAATTATACAAATGGACATACATAGATCTAACAAGATTACTGCGGTAAAACTAAGACCATAATAGTAAAGGCAGGTCATATTAAAGAACTAGAGGATATGTATGTGTTTTATCGGTGCTATTCATCATCCCTTGCCTGTGGCCCTTTTGTGAGGGACTGTTATCTTACTTGTTTATGCTCATTCATGTCAATTGTGATTGCTCATGTTTGAACTTTTGAGTCCTATTCCCATCAACACCTCATGATCACACAGGCTGGTGAATTTTTTGAAAACTCTTTGTATTAATGGAATGAACACAAAATACCGAAATAATTACTCACCTTGTGCTGCTTTTTCAACAGAGATTGAGGTGACTGAAGTGGGAGCCTGCGATTCACTCTCATTTGACTGGAAGAGTGAGGTAGATTGGCTCAAATTCTGTGAGTATGTACAGCTTTGGGCGAGACAAGGCAGGGATCTCCTAGATGGTTTCAATGAAGTTTCTTTCACCATCTCGCTCTTGCTTATATTCATACCTGCAAATGCAAAAATGGAGAGTTTTAACAATAAGAAATAACCAGCAGGACTCAACACAATATTTTAATGCTTGTGATAATTCTTTGAGATGTAAACCACAGGGATTACAATTAATTGAGTTTTATTTATATCGTGTCAGAGTGTTTGAAATTTTCATCAAATAAGTCTCAGAAATAAAGTTTCTCTTCTTGTTTGACCTTCCATCATGTTTCTTAAAGGTTCTGTACAAGTAACTTTTCAAAATCATTTTATTGGGGGCTTTTTACAGCGATCACAATCCATACATACATCCATTGTGTCAAGTACATTTTGCAAATATGTTGCCATTATCATTTTCAAAACATTTTCTTTCTACCTGAGCCCTTGGTATCAGCTCATTCCCACCCTCTTCCCAACCCTCCCACGCTCATGAACCCTTGATAATTTATAAATTATTATTTTTATCATGTCTTACACCGACTGCTGTCTCCTTTCACCCACTTTTCAGTTGTTCAACCCCTGGGAGGGGGTCATATGTAGATCATTGTCATCAGCTCCCCTTTTCTCCCCCTCACCTTTCCTTTCCCCTTCTGATATTGCTACTCTCATTATTGGTCCTGAGGGGTTTATCTGTCCTAGGTTCCCTGTGTTTCCAGCTCTCATTTCTACCAGTGTACATGCTCTGGTCTAGCCGGATTTGTAAGGTAGAATTGGGATGATGATACCGGTGGGGGAGAAGCAAGAACAAGAACTAGAGCGGTGGTTTTCAACCTGTGGGTTGTAACGCCTTAGGCGGTTGAACGACCCTTTCACAGGGGTCGCCTAAGACCATCAGAAAAGACATTTCCGATGGTCTTAGGAACTGAGACATCACTCCTCTATCCATCTCCAGAAGGGTCCGCCCACATGCAGATACGCTCACATATGAGTATCTGGCATGATGACATCATCAGGTGTATGTGACAGAGTTGCCGCCATCACACATGTGTAGAGAACAGCTATTGTGTAGAGAGCAGCTACTGTGTAGAAAGCAGCTGCTGTGTTCAAAACACCAGTATTGAAGGTAAAATGACATTTCATGAATTAAAATTACTGGGTAAATGTAAAATTATGTACTGTAAAATCATAAACTACTGCAAAAAAAATCTGTACCATGGGAACTTAATCTGGATGCTGATCAGTCTTTTTATATTGGTGTGGTTGATGTGAATACTGCCCCATTGTGATAGTAACAGGTATGTAAAAAAAACCCCACAGAGAATGGTAAATCAAAGGAAACTTTAATGAACCATATTGACTGAACTACATCATGTATCATCTTTTGTATTATTAAAGCTATTGTTATATATTATTTTCATTAGCAAGCCATACCATGACAATGGATCATGTAGAGAAGAATGTTAAGGAAAGAAAATACAGTGAGCATTTTTTACACTATGGTTTTACCTCAATAATTACAGCAGGAATTGAGAAATCGCAATGTGTTATTTGTTGTGAAGTTCTATGAGCCGAATCTATGAAGCCGAACAAACTAAAACGCCATTTTGATAGCAAGCATCTGAACTATTTTAGAAGCAAAGCTGATGGACTCAAGAAAACCAGACTTGACACTGGTGGCAAGCACCACAAACAAAACATAGCAGCCATTGAAATTCAGAATCACCAGGGCTATGAAACCTCACACTATTGCTAAGGATTTACTGTTGCCAGTGGCCAAAGTTTTTACATTGTTTGAGTTATGATCGGAGATGCATTTGTTATGAAATTGAGTGCAATTTCCTTATCTAATGACAATGTCCTCAGAAGAATAGATGCCATGACTGCTGATATTCTTGATCATGTAATCCAAGAAATTAAATCTGCTCCACTTTCAATATTTAGCAGCCAGCTTGATGAATCTACAGACATTGCAAACTGTTCACAGTTAATGGTTTATGTGAGGTATATTAATTATGGTGACTATAAAGATGAATTTCTTATTTGAAAACCTCTTGAAATGATAACTACTGCATGTGATGTATTTGACACAGTTGGTTCATTTCTGAAAGAGCATAAGTTCTCTTGGGAAAAGGTTTGTGGTGTTTGCACAGGTGGTGCTCCAGCTATGCTAGGATGTCGATCTGGATTTCAATGTTTGGTACTGAATGAGTCACCAAAAGTCATCAAAAGTCAATCATTCACTGTATGAATCATTGGCAGATAGTGGTAATGAAGATGATGTCACAAGAGTTACAAGAAGTAATGAAAAGCGTCATAGGTTCTGTCAATTTTGTAAAGGCGAGCACTTTAAATAGTCGACTGTTTTCTCAACTGTGCAATGAGTTGGATGAGCTGAATAATGCTCTGCTATTTCACCCTGAAGTGAGATAGTCGTTGAGAGGAAAAGTTTTAAAACGTGTTTTTGAGCTTCACGATGAACACAAAACATTTGTAAATCAGAACACAAGACCACAGTTCGAAGCACTTTTCAGTGATAAAAGTGAACTGCAAAAAATAGCTTACTAGGTTTACATCTTTGCCATCTTGAATGAGTTCAATTTATTACTGCAAGGCCCAAATGCAACATGCCTCCATTTTTCTGAAAAGATCTGATCATTCCAAATGAAACCTCAGCTTTGACAAAAAAAAAAAAAGGATGAAAATAAAATTTATATGTTGCCTACCTTATCTGCTTTCTTTGAGGAACATGACTTTGAATCAGACAAAGGTTTACGTTGATCATTTCTGTGAACGAATACTTGCACATGCTTGCAGATGAAATTTCATCGTATTTTCCAAATCTACCTGCCACCCCATTTTCACTTGCCAGACGCCCATTCCCAGACAAAGTTGAAGATGTTCTTGAGACAGTACAAGAGGAGTTCACTGAACTTATTAACAGCAATGAAGCGAGAACTGATTTCTCTACAGTGCCAGTTACAAAATCCTGGATCAAGTGTTTGCAGTCATATCCTGTTCTGTCTGAGACTGTGTTGCGCCTTCTCCTTCCATTTCCAACAACCTATCCTTTTGAAACAGGCGTTTCCAGCTTGTTGGTTATCAAATCTAAATACAGAAGTAGCCTTGTTGTGGACGAAGATTCTCCTTGTGCTCTTACAAAGACTACCCCAAGAATTTCTGATCTGGTGAGAAAGAAGCGATCTCAACCTTCGCACTGATGTTGGCTTTTTACGCATACTGTCACAAAATGTAGCAATGTAGTTTACCATTGTTGTATTAAGATGGTTTCCCATGCTACACCATGCTTCAAGACAAAATTTCATTTATTTGTAATTAGAAATAGTTCCCAATATATAATTATATATTGTTTTTGTGAATAATCACTATGCTTTAATTATGTTCAATTTGTAACAATGAAAATAAATCCTGCATATCAAATATTTACATTATGATTCATAACAGTAGCAAAATTACAGTTATGAAGTAGCAACAAAAATAATTTTATGGTTGGGAGTCACCAAAACATGAGGAATTATATTAAAGGGTCACGTCATTAGGAAAGTTGAGAACCACTGAACTAGAGGAGAGTTGTATGTTTCATTGGTGCTATGCTGCACCTTGACTGGCTGGTTTCTTCCTTGTGACCCTTCTGTAAGGGAATGTCCAATTGTCTACAGATGGGCTTTGGGCCTCCATTCTGCACTCCCCCTCATTCACATTGATATAACTTTTGTTTTGGGTTTTGATGCCTGATACCTGATCCCATCAGCACCTCATGACCCATCCACAAGACGCTATGAAAGCAGGCCTAGCAATTTGGATCCAAAAGGACACAGCCTTGAAAATGCTAGAGCACAGCTGTACTCTGCACAAACGAAATTGCCATGAGCTGAAAGGAGCTAAAATGAAAGTGAATGAAACTCACTGCCCTCTAGTCGATACCAACTCATAGTGACCCCTGTAAAACATTCCAAGACTATAACTCTTTACGGAATTAGAAAGCCTTGTCTTTCTCTCATGGAGCGGCTGATGATTTCGAAATTTATACCTCAAAGTTAGCAGTCCAACTTGAGCTGAGCATAAAATTCAAGCCTCAAAATAAAATGTTGAAGGATTTTATGAGTAAAATCTTAAATTATTCAGGAATCATCAAAATTAGATGGAAGGAATACATTGATGCACTATACCAAAAAGTTGAATTCTTTCAAGAGGCAGATTATGATCAAGAACCAATGATATTGAAGGAAGAACTCCAAGCTGGACTAAAGTAATTCCTGGAAAAGAAGGTTCTAGAAAGTGTTAGAATACCAGCTGAATACTCCAACAAGTTAATGAAACACTGGACACATTCATTTGATAAGAAAGTGGCCAACTGACTGGAAAAGATCCACATTTGTGCACATTCCAAAAAAAGGTGACACACCAAAATTATCAAGCAATATTACTACTCTCATATGTGTGGTAGTTACATATTCTGTGGTCAATTTGAGAGGATTAAGAGTGAAAGGTGGAGTCAGGTCATAGCTTGACAACCTCATTTGGAGGTGCTAAGGAGATAAATAGCTCGCTGGAGGTGGGACACACGCTCAGTCCCTCTGAGACATTCTTGTTGACAAGCCACATGGAGACAGGCTGATGGCAGCCACAGCCCTGGAGCTGGAGAATATATGTGGAGACCCCTGCCAGCACTGAGATGCTTACACCACCACTGGATCCAGAAGACTTTCCACCTACTGGCCTGTGATCATCCTGAATTTGGCATCATTGCATGTGTTTCATGAGTCTGAAGAGGAATTTATAGATTGATATCAGACATATGGGCTAATACCAGACTTACGGACTTGATCTGAACTGGGCTGAGCTGTTTTCTCAAAATTCAATTGCTCTTGTATATAAAGTTCTTTGTTATACACATATGAGTGTTTCTTTGAATTTGTTTCTCTAGTCTACCCAGACCAACACAATAGGGAAGTAAAATTTTGTTGAAGATGATTGAAAAATGGTTGCAACACTGTGTCGATGGGAAGGTAACAGAAATGCAAGCCAGAATCAGAAGACGTGGCATGATGTGTGCCATT